CATTTTATAGGTGAGATGACTGAGGCACAGAGAAGTTAAGCGACTTGCCCAAGGCCATATAGCTAGTGGTAGAGCCAGGATTCAAAGCCCAGCATTTTGGCTCCAGAGTGCAAGCTCTTAAACTCTATATTAAACTTTTAAATGCGGTGGGTCTCTAAAAGAGACCCCCAATACAGTATAAAAATCACCAGAGCATAAAACAATAAAGGAAAAACAACTGGGTCTTATACTTAAAGGAGAGAGAAAGCCAGAGAAGGTGGTACAGATAGATCCCCTGCACCCTGGGGACCAGCCTTCTTAGGGCGTCATCTGCCCCAGCCTGGGCAAGCCCAGCAGACACCAGTCAGTGCACAGTGCACAGACTCCATAAAAAACCAAGCTCACCTTCCAAAACCTGCCACTCTGCAGCCACTCACCCCAGGAGGCAGGCAGAGAGAAGGCTGTTTCTCAGCTTTAGCAGGGAGACAGACACAAACATCCCAGAAGAGGTGGGCAGCAAGGTGTGGGGCAGGTGGGCTCAGCTTTGGAACAAAGAGGACTGAGAAGGGAAGGTGAAATCCCTTGCTTAGCCCATCTCCTCCTTGGAGAGCTTATTGGCTGTCTGCCCAGTCCCCCCAGACTAACTCAAGGAGCAGACAGGCAGCTCTAGTAACGGGTGGACAGTGCTGGAAAATACAGGGGTCAAAGGACTTAGCATAGCCTACCACCAGAAACATCTGCTCCCAGGCCTGCAGTCCTCCTGGCCCCTTGGAAAAACTCCAGCCCTCTGAGCCCCACAGGTGCTCCCCCACAATTCCCCTATACCTCCAAGTCCTGGGGGACCATGGGCATATCTGGCAGGAGGGAGGGGGCAGTTGCAGACAAAGAATTTTGGGCCTACAACAGTCCTGGAGACTAACATCTCATTTGACTGGTGACTCTTCCCTCAGGTAGAGAGTAAAAATGCCAGCTCTGCAATCTTACAGCCTTTTCCTCTAATTGATCTCAGCCCTTCCACTTTTGAGAGGAAAATGGGAACAAGTTAAAATATAGCTACAGACACCCACAAGTACATATAAGCACATGTATCTGTGTACATCCAGCTGTAGAAACAACCAGTGTGCATGTCTGAGAATAGCTTATGCCAAGGCCTTCATGCCTATGCCCAGCCCACAGTGGGACTCAGTCAGGGCTGGCTCTCCTCCCCCAGGGCTCAAATACTAAAGTGGATGAGGCTCAAGAACAGGGAGGGCCATGAGTAGAAAGAAGGTCTGGTGTCCAGGGCTGGGACTTTGTCTCTGGGTTCAAACGCTTAAACCAAGAATGTTTTACCTGGGTCAACTCTATCCATGGAAGTTTTGGGCTGTTAGGAAGCAGGGCTGAAGGAAGTTGGAGTCACCATGTGTCACCAACCCTGAAGAGTATGCAGTGGATAAAGGGAGCACAGGACCCAAACCAGAACCCCTGGAAGCTGGTGGGGAGCAGAGGAATCAGTGGTTCAACCCAGCATTTTATTTGAAGAGTCTGAGGACCAGTGAAGGGGAAGTGACTCGCCCAAATGTGGCAGCAAAGTGGTAGTAATATTGCAACCAGGTTTCTCTGTCAAGTGTTCTTCCTGTTACCCACTGCACATGCATTTTTTGTCACTTTCTAAGTGGCATTCCGTCCATAAGGCAGCTGGTTGGAGTATGTGTCCCACACACTAGGCGAAGGTTTGCTTTCTGGTTCATTCAGCACTATTTTAGGCCATGGGGTAGTAACCATAAACTGTAAATCTAAACATTATAATAATAGTAGCTAAAATTTATTGAGTCTGTGTCGTGCCAGGCATCATCTCCCTGATCCTCACGACAACCCTGTGTTAAGGTACTGCTACTGTCCCCATTGTACAGATGAGGAACTGAGGCTCAGAGAGGCTAACCAATTTACTCAAGCTTACACATGCAGGAAGTGTTAGCTTAAACCACTTCCCATGCTCTTAGCTACTGCATTTCACTGCTGCCTCCCAAGTATATGGGTAAGAAAATAAATATAATAATTTCAGATACTGTTAAGTACAATGAAAAAATAAAGCATGGCGAGAGAGAGATGACAGTGAGTGTCTCCTGATGTCCAGGTCAGGTGGTTAGGGAAAGAGTCCTCAAAGATGTAGCGACATCTGTACAGAATCCAGACTGGCAAGGATCCCACCATGCCAAGAGCTGAGAGAAGGGCATTTTAGACAAAGGGAACAGTTGGAATTTTTTCATGGATGATGGAAAGCCATTGGAAGGTTTAAGCAGGGGAGTGACATGTTTTGCTGTGTGATGAATAGATTGTAGGGAAAATCCCAGGGAAAAAGCAGGACAAAGATTGACATTTTCAGGAAATCTGATGATGCTGGGGGAGGAAAGGAAAGGATCAGGACTGGAAGAGAGCCAGGGCATCTGGAACCAGCCCTCTCATTTTGCTCCCCACATTGCTAGGGCCCCCCTCTCTAATAGGATGGGTAAGTTTTTAAAATAAAGAAGGACCTCTGGTTCCAGCTGGGCCCATCCAGAGCCCTACCACTTTTGCCTCATGGAGTCAAGCAGTTTCAGTGGAAGGAAAGTACCTGGAGTGCAATGGAGACAGGAGGGTGTCCGAGGTGGGATTTTTGCTTAAGACTGTCATCAGGAGGCAGATTTCCCCAATTGCTCTCTACTAGGAGAGGGCTGGGGTAGGTAATGATTCTCCTCCCTAAATCTCCATCTCAGGAGATCCCGCATGCTTTCCGTCCAGTTGGAAAGTTCCTCCTTAGGTTCTACCACAGGCCTTCTAAAGGGCTCTGGGCTGGATTATGGACCTTCCCCTTCCGTCCCACCCTTCCTCTCCCACAAGTTTCCTGCCGCCACTTGGCCAAGCCCAGACAGGACTCCATCATGTCTGGGGAGAGAAAGAGGGATGGGAGATGCCAGCGGCTCCTTTGGCTGCTGGCTGAACTCACCTTCTTCCTTCCCCCATCCCACTCCCAAGACGCTAAAGAAACCAAAGGAAAATGAGAGCAATGTTCCTTCCCATAAGCCCACAGCCTCAAACCCAGATTGGCTCCTGAGCCTGTAGCTACTTGTAATGCTATTTACCAGTGACCCTCAGGGACCCAGCCTTCACCAGATCCTTCCGTAACCTCAGTCAAAATCTTAGGTCCCCAATAGGAAGACAGGAAGAGGAGCCCATCTCTAAGGACTTGGGGGCGCTTAAATAGTAGATCTTAAGACACTGGGATCTGATAGCAAGGCACTATTCCAAAGTCCTGGTACCCATTAAACCTCAGGCTTCCTGGGGCACAGATACTGCCTGGCCTGTTCAGCCCCAGAACAGTTCCTGGAACATAATGGAGATGTGATGAATAATTAATTGGTGACTGAAAGCCCCAGAAACGAGCCACAGCATTATCAATCTGTTATGAGGACCCACCTGAAAACAGACTTTCACTTCAGGCTAAACTCAGGACTAATTCCCAGTAAAGCCACCTCTTTCATGTATTCAACACTTGCTATGTTACATGTATGTGTGCAAACATGTAACATGTCCTGCGTGAGCTAAACTCATTAGCTGGATGAATGAAAACATGACTGTCCTTCAGTTTTCTGCTCTAAAAAATGGAAGCAATAACACTTCAACATAAAGCTGTTGTGAGAATTACTTAGAATAAGACATAAAAATAATCACAGTAGGTCCTTAGTAAGTGGTGGGTGATACCACTATGGCTGTAAATATGGAAGTTCAATGGACAGCTAATAGGCTCAGGGTAGCAGGCTGTAGGGCCAGGAATCCCAGTGCTGCTCCTGATTCTTGGGGAAAGGGCCTCCCGGATTCCCAGCAAGTCGACTCCAACTCTCCCAGAGATACGTGTGTGTGTTGGGGGGCGGGGGCGGGGCGGTAGTGCTTGTGGCGGTGGTTCTGACTTTTCTAGTGAATCGGGCGCTTCCAACAAACCATCCTGTTGCTCCTCACTGCCCCCTAGCTTTGCTCATGCGCACCGCCCGCTACTCACAACCTCTGGGTGAGCAAGACCCAGCAGCACGGCCCTCTCCCCATCTCCTCCACTCTGGCATCTGCTGCGCCCGAGGCTTGAGCCCTGCTGCCATTCCTTCCTCCTTCCCCATGCCACCCCAAGACCTGTAAACCCTGAAGTCCCCAAATTTTGCTGTTTTGTGAAACATCCCTGCTTTTCCTTGGGGAGCCATTACTGCGCCTTCGCATGGCCCCGCAAGAGGGCAGGCTAAGGCCGAGAGGGGAACTTGCGGCTCCACGGTTCCCTGGCGTGTTGCCTTCCACCTCCAACGTCCCTCCAACGTCCCTCCAAATCGCCATAACCTCCCGCTGGGCAGCTCCGCCCGCGGCGGCAGGAAGACACTCCTCCTTCCCCGGCGGCGGCGCGAACGGCCCACTGGCCAAGACTGGCGGCCACCGCCCCGCCCCCTCCCGCGGTTCCCAAGACTCCGGCCCGCGTCGCCGCCGGGAACCCTGGGAGGTGTAGTTTTTTGGCATCTCTCTCTGCAAGGCCGTGTCCAACAGGGCCTGAGAGCCTTCCCCACAGACTCGCGTCCCGCTGTCGTCTTGTGCGTCTTCAGACCCACTGACCTTCGCCGTGGCCGAGCCCAAGAGCGCCAGAGGCAGGGCCGTGGGCTGGCTGCTGGAGGTAAGCTGTTTCCAGCAGGGTCTCTGTAGAGCCTTGGACAAGTCCCATTAACCTCTGTAACAGGCTGTCTTGCAGGATTGCTAGGGAGCACAGGCTCAAGACCTGACACGCAGTGTGTCCTCAGTAAACGTGTGCTACTGCTATTTTTTGGCCTGGCCGAGTTGCCAAAGGCAGTTATGTCCCTAAAAATGTATGTGGACCCAGAACCCGGACCTGTTGACCCACCGTGCCCCCACACTCCCAGTAGGCCCAGCGGCAACTCCCACACATATTTGGACCAACAGCTCAGATACCTCTCCCTGTCCTACCCAAGTTCCCCTCATAGCCTCTGGCCATCCAAAAACACACTCTACACCCATTCAGAAATAGCTGATATTTATTTCCCAACATTTTGATAATTTTTTACAAATTGAATAAACAGAATGAAGGGGAGTGTGTGGGACCCCAGGCCTGGCCCTGGGCTCCTGATGTGAGGTGACAGTATGAAAACGTATCCTCACCCACAATTCCTGGTCTACTGCCCTAACCTCTCCTATCAACCTTACCTAAGAGTGAGGTGGGGGCTTTCTGATGATGTTGGGCTTCCCCCTAGAGGGGACTCTGTGCATCCTGTTTCAGGCTCTGAATTGGGGCAGGCTGGGGGCAAGTGCGGGCCCAGATGTGGCGCCTTCTGCATCTCTCTTGCCTGCGGGCCAGCTGCCGCAGTTGTTTCCGAATGGCCCACAGCACCAGGTACACTTCCCGCAGCATCTCAGCCTCCGGGGACTGCAAAGGGGACCAGTCCCTCATTTGGGAGGTAACAGAGGTAGAACTCACAGATGACTGAAAGAGAGAGAAGATGTGCACATGTAAACAGCTTGGTTTAGGGGAAAACCACTGGTGGGACCACCTGCAGTTAAATAGCACAGGCTTTTAATTCCACCTCCTTCATCAGGCCTCAGCTCAGGCACTGCCTCCTCCAGGAAGGCTTCTCAAGCTGCATTAGGTGTTCGTCTCTAACCTTGAGTTTGCCTCATCATACCACATTTCATCATTATTTCTGCAGATTCGTGTTTTCAACACCAGAATGAAAGCTCCTGGAAGACAGGGACCACGTCTGACCCACCTTTGCATCCCCACTAGTATTCCATGGAAACTGTGTTAAAATGAAGAAGGACCTCTGTCTCCATCCAGAGCTACCTCCTTGACCTCCAGGCCTGTATATTCCACTACCTTCTAGACATCTCCCTGCAGATGTCTTACCAACATCTCAACTCATCTTGTCCAAACTCCTAAAGTCTGTCCTTGCTCCTTTATTGTGCCCCCAGTGAAAGGCCACAGCCTGCTCTGACTTCTGTCTCTCCCTATCCTCTCACCATCATCCAATCGACCACCTGGAAGAATAATTCTACCTCTTAAGTATCACTCCAATCCATTACCTTGTTCTACCTGATGCCTCTCCCCCAGTCCAGAATATCCTTTCCTCTTAGCCTGGACTGCAACACCTCCAATGGGTCTTCCTGCCTCTCTCCTCTTGTCCCTTTCTGACTCTGCTCCACAGGGCAGCCAGGTGAACTGGTTTTTGGTTTTTTGTTTTATAAATTAATGCCATAATCATTCAAGGACAAAATAAATTGATTTGGTAGTGATCTCTACATTCCCTTTTTTAAATTAAGTTTTTGACTTTGAGATATTGTAGTTTCACATGCAGTTGTGAGAAATAATGAGTTCTTATATACCCTTTATCCAATTTCCCTCAATAGTAAAATCTTGTATAATTCTAGTACAATATCAGTCAGGATAATGACATCGACAATCCACTGAACTTACATTTCCCCAGTTTTACTTGTCCGTGTGTTTGTGTGTTGAATTCTACCCAATCTTATATCATATATGTATAGGCTCATGTATTGGATACATAGGCTCATGTGTCCAATTACCATAGTCAAGATACAGGAGATTTCCATCATACAAGGATTCTTCATGTTGCCCTTTTATAACAAGTCCACCTCCCCCACCCCACCCCTACAGTCTCTGGCAACCACTAAACCACTAATCAGTTCTCCGTTTCTATCATTTTGGTATTTTAAGCATGGTATGTCATATAAATGGAATCACACAGTATATAACATTTTGGGATTGGTTGTTTTCACTCAGCATAATTCCCTTGCGATTCATCTAAGTTGTTGCATGTATTCATAGTTTGTTACTTTTTATGACTGAAAAGTGTTCCATGGTACAGATATATCACAGCTTAACCATTCACCCATTAAAGGACATTTGGGTTCCTTTTGGCTATTACAATAAAGCTGCTATAAACATTCACATACAGATTTTATGTGAACATAAAATTCCATTCGTTCATTAGGATAAATGCCCAAGAGTACAACTACTGCATCAGATGATAATTGCATGTTTAGTTTTATAAGAAACTACCAAACTGTTTTCCAGAGTGGCCATACCATTTTATGTTCCCACCAGCAACGTAGGAGTGCAGGTGAGCTCTCTAAATCAAAATCTGATTGTGTCACTCCTCCACTCAAATGTCTGGAATGGCTCCTGTTGCTCTTAGGGTCAAATTCAAACCCCACAACTGGCCACCCACCCTGCCTTGTACTAGCTGGCCCTCAGCTCTGGGGTTGCTTTACTCTGACCCATACACCTTAGGCCAGCCCTCTACACATTATTCTTTCTTCATGGAACAGAACCTTCCACTCCACTCCCTCCATCTTCCCCTAAGCAACCCCCACCATGCCTCAAGCCAAGCTAAATCCCTTAGGTCTCAGCTTCACCCCTTCTTCTGTTAGGAAGGCCTTCCTTGACTTCCCAGGCCTGGATGATGTGCCTCTCTCCTGGGATTCCACAGACCCCTGTGACTATATCACGCCCCTAAGATACTGACCCAACAATGCTTATGGTCTTGTCTGTAGTCCCCTTAATTTGGGTAAATCTTGTTTACCATGTATCCTAAAAGCCTTCTTCAGTGCCTAGCACTTAATAGAGGCACAGAAAATAAATTTTGAACAAGTAAATGGAGGGAGGAATGAGTCATGGGGGATGGGAACAGTGGGAGGGCTATTGGGGACAAGGGAGATATGGTACTGACCTTCCAGCTGCACATTTGCCAGCCGGACTGCAGAGCTGAGACCATCAGCGTGGAGACAGACTTGACAACCGTCCGGGGCAGCTGCAGCAGGGACTGGCTCCTATGGCCCAGCTCCACCTGAGCCCCGTCTGTTATCTTGGTCAACATGCAGGGATCAGCCACCTTGGGGGACACTTCCATCTTGGAGGCCTTAACCTTTTGGGGGTGCTCAACCAACTTGAAAGTCTCAACCACGTTGGGAGTCTTCTCTACCTTCAATGCATTTTTCTTGGAGTCAGGGTGTTCCAAGACAGTTGACTTAGTTTTGTGTTTCCAGAATAAAACCTAAGAACCAAGACAGAGAGGAAGGATAGGCGAGAGGGCCAGAGCAGAGACAAAAGTCAGAAGAAGGGAAGGCACAGAAGGGATGGGACAGTGTGTGTCCCGGCCCCCTCTCTGGCTGTCCTACCCCTCACTTACTCCCTTCCCTGTCTTGTTTGGCCACAGAATGCCAGGAGAGGTGGAAGCCCAGGTAGAAGGGGTGTGTCTGTGACCTAGAGGTCACTGACTAGCATCTCCCACCCCAGCATGGCATGAGGAAGGGGCAGTCTCTGAAACTCACCCAGTAAGTAATCTTTTGCCACATCCATCGAAAGAACCTCATGACGATAGCCATTTTTCCCAATACACAAGCCCCAAGTATGAAGCAGAACCAGCATTTGGTACAGTGCAGTGGGGAGAGGGCGGTAGAACAGGCTGCAGGCCAGTGGCCACCACCTAAGGGGTCTCTCAGAAACTTCAAGCGCAGCAGTGAAGACAGAAATAGAGAATCCAGTGGGAAAGCTCCCCCTGACAACTCATCCTAGGTCTTTCCTCCCCTCCCTGGGACAGGGAGAGGAGTCAAGGTGGTTGAGAACCCAAGGGGAGGGAGAGTTCTAGCCCATTGTGAGACCCTGGCTGGCCTTGACCTCAACCCCCGAGGCCCTTCCAGGACCCCTGAGGCAATCCTGGCACACTCAGCCTTCCTTCCTCCAGATCCAGGGAAAGGATACTAACGTTTATGTAGTGCCTGGTACTCGCTGGGCATTTCCCATGTATGATGTCCTGTAATTCTCACAGCAGCCTTCAGGTAGCTATCATGGTCAGTGCCATTTTATCCATGAGGAAGCTGAGATTCAGAAAAACCAAACAACCTACCCAAGGTCATAAATCTAGGAAGCTATAAGGACAGGAGTCCACCCTGGGTTGGCCTCCAGTATCCAGCTCTTCACTGGTCCCCTCTAGTCTGGGGTCAGGGTCCTCGAGGCAGAGGCTGCTCCTTTCCCTTCTTCCCCACTAGATGGGGTCCTTTTCCTTACCTGGTCTGCCTGGAATAGGAGCCCAGCCGGGACTGTTAGGGAGGGGCCTGCTCACCCACAGGGCCCAGTCCTCAGCCAGCTGGGGGTGGAAGCCACGGAGGCAGCCGGCCAGGCCTGGCGAGGGCACTGTGTGCCCTGAGAGCCTGGCCCACACCCAGCGCTGAGACAAGAGGCCCATTCAGGGCCCCCTGCCCCGCCCCCAAGCAGCCACCCGGATCCAGCCCGCAGAGGGGACACGCTGGGAAGCTGGGGGTGGATCCTGCACAATCACCAAAGGCCTCATTGTTTCCCTGTTTCCCCCCTAGCACGTGGGTGGACGCCCCCCCTCCCCCTCCGTTCCCTCTGCCTTGCCTTGCCTGCCCCTTCCCAGGACCCTGCAGGCCACTGGCTCCCTCTTCCCTCATCTCTTTTGACCACTCATGTCTAAGCCACATTAAACCTCCCCAGTTTGGGCAAGGTCTCCAGGGGAGCCCACAGCCTCCCACAAGTAGAAACTGCCAGTGCAGGCCCCCAGACTGGACACAAGCAACAAGATGCCAACTTCCAGATTCAAGTTTCTTCAGAATTTTTAATTATAATTATTATTTTAATAACAACCTGAATCCCAAACTTCCAGATACTGTCCATACTCCCTCCCCCGGGTGGAGAAGAGGGGGCACTTTGAGGGAAGAAGGTGGGGATGGGTGTTTGCCAAGAAGCCTCCAACTCCCTCAAGCCATCTATTGCTGGGGGTCCCAGAACACTGACACCTAGAGAGGGAGGAGGGGGCTCCATCTAACACCCCATCCTGAAGCCCTCCCTCCTCCATCAAGGCCTGGGGATACACCAGCCCAGTCCCTGGGCACTATGGGGAGATGAAGGAAGGGTGGGGAAACAGGCCAATTCTGAGCCTTCAATTCCCATCCCCGGGGAGTCAGGGGGTATTAAAGCTGCATAGAAAGAGGGGGCAGGTGGCTGGCACAAGGCCTGGCATCTGTGGCAGCCCCCAAAGGCACATTGTGAGGGAAGGGAGGCTCAAACGGAGGGCCCGTTGGGTGCAGGGGGCCCAAGCCGTGGGACCCCCGAGGAGGGCAGCTGGGCTAGCTGCTCAGGGCTGGCCAGGGCACGCAGCAGTCCGTTCTCCTGCTCCAGTGCGGCATTCCGCTCAGCCAGGTCCCGTATCTGCTCCTTCAGCACCTCCACCTCCTCCCGGACCGCAAACATGAGGTGGGACTTCACCAAGTCCTGGGGGCCCAGGGACAGGCAAAGCATCAGGGGTCTCAGGCCACCCCAACCACATCCCCTACCCAGTGCCTTGAGGGACTGGGCGTGAGAGTTCCCCGCCTAAGGAACCACTGGGGAAGAAGCAAAGCAGGGGAGGGGCGAGAAGAGGGTGGGCAATAAGGCCAGACAAGGGCAAGGTCAGGGCTCAAAGACAGATGGGGGCCAGGAGCCTGGCCAGAGACCAAGGGAAGTAAAGGAGGGGTTCAGGTAGAGGCTGGAGGGGATGGAGGACAGGTGGGAGCGGGTGGTGGAGCTGGAAGTCAGTGTTTCCTACTAATGAGGACAAGCAGGGGTGGAGCAACAGGAAAGCTAGTGGAGGCAGGGCCTGGGCATCAGCACAAGAGCCGGGACCTCCCGGGACCAAGATGGCTTCTCTTACCATGGCTTGTTCGATCTTGTTGTCAATGCCAACCAGGCTTCCGGAGCCACTGGAGAGACACAGGGAGATGAGAGGTGAGGAGGAGGGGCAGGTGCCAAGCCAGGTGTCTGGACACACCAGCCAGCTGCCTTCCAGGTGCTTCTCAGAGCAGGCTCTGGCCTCCTCCACAAGCCCCTTTGCTGCAGACTCCTGCCCACACCCCAGCCTGTACCTGTGACAGTAGAGAATCAGGGAGAGGAGGGTTTTGTCCATCCCCCGGTGGGGTGAGGGCCGCTGTCCAGGGCCCCCCTGGCCCCGGTGGGGTGGGGGTCCAGATGCCCCTCGGATGGGGGATGCTCCCCGAGGGGAGCAAGGAGAGGAGACACAGCCCCTTTTTCGGGGAGGCCCTGGAGCCATCCCCACCACTCGGGTCTCAAATGATGATACCAAGGACTTAACAGAGACTCCTGGCTGGGCCATCCCCGAAGGGCAAGGGTCCCCAGAGCCCCTCCCAAAGGAAGAGGGCTGTATCAGGAGAACTGCCTGGGGGGCTCAAAGCCCCCCGGGCAGAGCGGGGTCTGGCTGGTGCCAGGCAGGCAGAGAGAAGACAGTGCCCAGGGGGTGCTGGTCTGAAAGATATACACCGCCCCCCAGGGCAAAGCCTGGCTTCTATTGGCTCCTCAGAGACACGGGGACCCCCTCCCACCGGCTTCATGGTGGGCGGGAATTCCCAGACTCGGTCAGTGCCAGTGTCCCCTTCTCACCCTGGCACCAATCCCAGAGCAGAGGGGAGGGGGCCAGCTAAGGGAAGTCAGCTGGTGGGCTGGGTGGGAGGAGGGACTGTGGGACCAGAGGCCTGGGTCAGGGAGGGGTGTGAAGGGTGAGGGAGAGCCTGGCCCTGAGAGGCCTCTCCCTGCCTCTGACCCCATCCTGCCCCCTTTGGACTACTGCTGGCCTCCCTCAAGGCCTCTGTTCCTCTCAGCTGGGATGTGGAGGTATTTCTGATATGCTTGTGGTCTTCCTTGGACTGTGAGTACCCTCCCAAACACAAAGCTCACATCATGAGTGACCCCTGGTACCTGGCCACAGGGTCCCCCTCCTCCCATGGTGAGGGCCAGGAAGAATGGTTACCATGGTTAACATAACAGAGCCCAGAGTCCCAAAAGACAAGTATAGCCTATGGTCTTTGGTCTGGGGTCTAAGGTCTTGAAGGGAGTAAGGGATTCAGGAGAAGTGGGAAGGTGAAGCTGGTGGTGTGACACTGGGAATAGGAACAGGGGCTTTGAAGACCCCTGGAAGCAGATGACGGAGGGAAGAACAGGTCTGGCTGCAGTTTGTTAAACGGCCACGAGAGGTCGACTCAGGCCTGGCACAACGGTCCCAGGGCCAGGCTCTAAGTCCCAGACCCAATTCTCCCTCAAGCCAGTCTCTTAGAGGCCCAGGGCCTGCACCAGCCTTATGAGCCCTGCCCTAGATCCTCCAAGACACCGTCTCCCCACCACTCAGGCCCCAGGGTCCTGCCTCATCCCATGGCTCATAACTCACCCAGTCCAGCTTATGCCTCAGCCCCAGGACCAGCCCTCCACCTATGCCCCCTGTACTGCAGAATCACCAGTCCTCCTGTCCTCCAGCTCCCAGCTTCACCCCCCAGAGTAGGTGGCCCCAACATGCTGCATCCTGAGCCCTTGTATTCTCTTGTCAAGCCTTCTCTCCTGGTTGTCAGTTCCAACTTGCTGGGGGTGGTGGGGGGGACCCAGGGAGGATTAGTACTCAATTCAAGGTGACCCTTGGATGAGGCCCTGCAGCCAGGAAGGGAGCACGAGGGAGCTGGGAATTTTCCATTTCCCATCCAAGCTCTGGGTGCAGAAGGCGCTGACAGGTGGGTAACCAAAGGGGTGAACAGGCCTGAGAAAGCAGGACAGGGTGGCGTGGGGGAAGGACACCTGGGACTCCTGGAGTTGGGGTGGGGAGAGGACAAGTTTAAGAGTGAAGGGCAGCCTGGCCAGCTGGAGAGTCAAAGCCATTTTCAAGCTATTTCAATCTGAGACACATGGGTGGAGACGAGGCCACCACAGAACCCTCCCCCCACCCACCGGCCCCCAGTACACATAAACACACACAGACCAATGAGGGGCAGATTCACAGGAACAGCAACCCTAGCCTTGCTTGGCAGACACTTGGGTAAAGATGCCAAGTAAGTTGTTCGTTCTTGCCAGAAATAAAGGAATACTACCATAATAAACATTTGTTGGCTGATAGATGACTATCTCCTGTTTGTCTAGTGCTGGAGAGTTTTTGACAGCACTTTCCACTGTCACATCCTAATATTAACACTTCAAGGGACCAAGACTCTGGCTGGCAACCAAAGTCGACCTTTTGAGAGTCCCGAGTGAGGGGCGGCAGGCACCATGCTGAAATTCCTAGGCAGGGTCAGGAGCCGGAAGCTTAGGGTTGGCTGGGTGAGATCAGCTCTCATCATAAGCCCAAAAGGTGACTTTATGTGAATTAGAACAAAATATCCCCTTCTTCAACACACTTATTGCCATCTTCTGGAAAACTGTCAGGACTTCAAGTGTCGACAGTGACTTCAAATGTGACTGGCGTCCCTTGAAGTTTTACAGGGCATGATATGCACAACTGGGGACTCTGGTTCTGCAGGACTCTTGGGTCCTGGGCCAAGGACAGCCCTAGAGTTGGTTTTCCTTTTTTGAAGGTCAAATGAAACAGCCTCAAAATAAGGATCAGATAAAGCAGGACATCTGGGAGAAGTGAGGTTCTGATCCTGGGGACAAGGGCCAGACCTGCTCCCTCGCTGTGTTCTAAGGAGCCCCCAGGGGCTGGGCCTGATGCCAACAAAGTGGCATCTGGCTGCCCTGTCTATATTCCCTCCCGGATCTGTGGTGTCTTTGGGGTTGGGCCAGGCCAGGAGTGGGGGAGGATGGCTCCTTGCCCAGCTTGGGAGAGCTGTCCCTGCCTCTGTCCTGGAAAGAAAGGGCATCCTAGAAATGGCTGCCTCCTCCTCTTCTCTTGGGACATAGGCATCCAGTAGGAGAGTGTAGAGAATGTGGCTTTGGGGTCAGACCCAGGCTGTGATTGCAGTCCTGCCACTTACTAGCTGGGTGACCTTGGGAAAACTTCTAAAACTCTCCTCTGAGTCTCAGTTTCCTCATCTTTAAAGTGGGTATCATTGGGTAGCTTTTAAGATTATGTGGCATAAGATGTAGCACCTGATCCAAAGGAGGCACTGGACATAAATGTACCTTTTCTTTTCTGAGTTTCTGGAATTTATTCCTTATGTCTGGATCCTCCATGCTGGCCACCCACCCATCCATCCATCCATCTATCCACTTACTCAAGTACCTCCCAACTGCCAGGCCCTGTTGAGGACTCAAAGGTTCTTGCACCCAGGGTCATGTGAGCAATCTGAATTCACCAGGTACCCTTTGTTCGCTCAATCCCAGATTCTGGGATTGGTCAGGCATCCTCAACTACCCATCTGAGATGCAGGTACTTAACACCCCAGCCCATTTTCCCTCTCAAAAGGGAGATCCCATGCCACTCAGACTGTTCTCCTGCCAGCACTGTGCATATCAGAAAGGAGAGGTGGGGGCCCCCATTCCAGGGGGTCGAAGGGGTGGCCCAACCCAAACCCGCTGATCCAGCAGTGTGGGGCATGAGGGACTGGGCTGGGCGAGAGCCCAAGAGGCTTGCAGTGGAGCAGGGTAAAGTGGAGGCTAGGAGCTGGACCGGTCACACTGCGGTGTGTGGAGGGGATGGGGCAGAGGGAGGAAGGGAGGGGACAAGCCAAAAGAATAGAACTGAGGAGGCTTCTGGA